AGTACAGAACCAACCCCGACAACAGCAACTGGACAGAGTTAAAAAGAGAAGCTTGGATCTCCTCACGTGTCTTTGGTCTCTCCAGAGCTATTCAGGTTAGTGGAGCAGTGGAGTGTGGAACAGAACAGAACACATCAGCTCCTCCACCACTCTGCAATTGTCAGCTTTATCACCTCTATTAAGAAGCTACAGCTGTGTGATGTTATCGTGTGAGTGACGTGTTGTTGACCATGATTATTGTTTTCTCTTTGTAGGAATTTGGACTAGCAAGGTTCAAGACCAGGGTCACAAAAACCATGAAGGGATTTGAATATGTGTTGGCCAAAATGCAAGGTAACTACTCAAATGCAAAAATTGGACTTTAAAATGTCTGTCTTTTGTCAGATGTTGCTGTTTTAACACACTTCCCTCACCAGATAAAAATATTTTGCCATCTTTTTTCAAGGTGTTTCCTTTTTTCTTTTTCCTACTCGTAACTGGAGGTTGCAGCTGTGACAAGTACAAATAAGAACCCACCTGTTCTAAGTAGGACATGGCGCTGATATTCCCCAGTCAGGCAGATTAAATTTAGGTCAATATTTGTTTTCCTCTGCAGGTGAAACGCCTACAAAAACCTTGGCAGAAACGGCGACAGAGCGGGCGAGAGAGACAGCACTGGCAGCTAAAGAGAAGGCCAAAGACTTGGCATCGCAAGCTCAGAAGAAACAGTACGTGTGAGGAGCGACTCCAGTCACCGATTGTGCGGCCACTAACACTGGGACAAATAGTGTCTTCCTTCCATCTCATATTGTATCAGTGTGAGACAAACTGATCCCAGTAACGGGTGGAAGCCCTCGGTGAGAAGACATCCAAACAAAGTGGTGGGTGGACCATAAAAGGCCTGAGCTGGGATCAGGAGCCTGTTCTAGTCTTCCATGTTCGTGCCACGCTAGATATGTTCCACCGGACCTTCTCAATATTAACTGTAGAAGGAGAGAGAACAGTGGAACATGACTGCAGTCACCATAATACTACAGCGCTTCGCAGACTCTGATCCGTGTTCCTCAGACCTCTGCTTGACCAATGTGCCCGACACTGTCAGCTTCTCTTCCTTTGTGTGGCCCTTTTTTGTTGTAATGTGTTTTTTTATACACTTTAACCACAAGATGGAGGTGAAATCTGGCGAATGCACTGTTACCTCATTGAACCTACATTTATGTTTAGTTTGGCTACAGGTTCATCGACTGAAGAAAAGTCAAACCACGTAACTTTATGTAATAATTTCTACTCTGATTCGATGATACACCCCATGCGGCGGTACGCTCTTACTGAATCAATTTACCATCAACTCATCAATAAATAAATAGTTAATTTTAAACCCTTCTGCTGTATTGACTAATGGCGGTTAGTCTCTAGTCAGTGTTGGATTTAGCCTTAAATCTAACTTTAATAGTGTCTATATATGTATATACATATGTGTGTATATTTTCACAATCAATTTATATACTATATATATACATAGTGGATATTTTTTTAAAAATACAGTATATTTGATATTTTCATCTCAAAGATGCTATGACTTCGCCATTAGATGTTGCACATCAGCAACTGAAATTCTGAGATAGGATATCTGTCATTAACATACAACTGAGAGCTCATAAATATAGACAATATTTATTCAGTAAAAAAAAAAAAAAGAAACATTACACCAGTACAAAATGCTACATAATATTACTGGGCAGCGGGACAGATGAGAGCATACATACTATTCCAAGCTAATAAGGCATTTGCATATACGAATGAAGCACCTTCAGTTATTCAATATATAGCAACAAAGAGAATAAAATAGAAAATTGCAAGACGGCATCAACTGCATTATCATCATCACGTGTAGAAGTGACCTGCCTGAGTGCTGACGCATGCATAATCCACCTTTTGAAATGACAAATGCACACAAGCAGCTTGAGTGTACGGTGGTGAGTTGGTCTTCTTAGTGAATGAAAGTCATTCCGTCTATGCAGGAAGCGCTCCTTAATGCTCACATCCTCGTACAGTCGTCACACGCTGAAGTGAGAAGATGCAAATGCACAAAAACGAAAAACGGATATTTGGACATGACTGTAGTTTCCAAATATCTCTGTGCAAATGTGATCCGTTTCCATTTCGACTTATTTACATTTGCCGAGAGATTTAAAATAACAAGTGCAACGTACGGTAGTTCTGTGCAACAGAAAAAAAAAGAAATAAAAATAATCAACTGAACTCGCATGATAATATAAAACGTAGCAGAGAACAATGAAGTGCGTGCTACAGGTGTGATGTTGCTGAGATATAAACTTAGTGCTGAAGAGAAAAAAAAAAAAAAAAGAAGCTGTAAAGAACCAAATCTGACTTAAGGCAGAATTCAGTACAGACATACTGTGGTAGAGAATAAATAAGAAGATAGGAAGCCCTTACATTGATCAACAAACGTCAGTAAAGGTGATTGAACTGTTTGGATGTGTGTGTGTGTGTGTGTGATGTTACATCCATCCCAGCCCAGTGATTTTTAACTGCTATTCAGTGCAAAAGGACACATAACCAACATTGTTGTTTAGCTTTTTGTCTGACATTATTATAAAGGTTAAAAAGGAGTCCTCCTGTTAAGAAAAATGCATTCACTTGTACAGTAACGTCTTCTTCCGCTCTCCTCCTCCAATTGCTTGTTTTTTTTTGTTTGTTTGTTTGTTTTTTTGGAATGTTTCAAACTCCCCCCTTCCCTCCTCCCCCGTTCTTCTCCATCCGGGTCGTCCGATGTTGTGATTTCCTGCAGATCTTACCGAGGTCATAGCCAGACTTTGTCCAAGCTGGAGTAACAGTGATCTGCGTCTGTGTGAGTCACTATCAGTCCTTCAGAGGTCAGACAGTCGAAGACGATGCTCTCCACATCAACCTCCACGTCCTCTGTGAAAGAAACACAGGTCGAAACCATCAGCAGGCGGAAACGCCAGGAAATTCACAGAAAATTCACAGTGTGAATAGTTTTTTGACCATTGATCTTGATGTTTGTAGTTGACCGACTGTTGCCATATATTAGAGTGGATGAAGTAGACATGAATATAGTGGCTATAGTATATATGGATAAAGTACGCACAGTGTGGATACATTGTATGTAGTACTAGTATATATGGATAAAGTACGCACAGTATGGACATAGTGGATACAGTGTATGTAGTAAATATGGAGGTAGTGGATAAAGTACATGTAGAGGACGCGCGGTGCCTTCAGCGTCCTTCCGGACTCACCTCTGTCTGACTCTGACCTCTCCGAGGACATGGTCGACCCCTGACTGTTGTTCCTCATTCTCTCGCTGCCTCTCTGCAGCTGTTCCAGTCGAACCTGCAGCTCTCTCTGCTCCCAGCGCAGACGGTCCTTGAGCTGCTCTGCGCGCTCGTCCTGTTCCTGTAGTTTCTGGAGAATGCAGAAGAAGCAGGAGCTCAAACACGACTGTAGAGTACATGTGACGTCTGCTGTAACATCTGTGACCACATCACCGCCATCAGGTCAGCAGTGTCACACCAGGTGTGAAATCGCTCCAGGGTACAGGTCAGACGTGTTTGGTTGTATAAGGTACGGGCAGCACAGTTCTACAGCAAGGACAAGAACCAGAAGACTTAGTATATGCATTTTAAACACAAAAATTAAAAAAGATCATTAAATATTTTCTAAATTAAAAAAAAACTTGCAGATTTCTAGAACGCTGAGTTCCATTGGTGGCTGGCGTGAGCTTTAAAAGCATTTAATTGTCTTATGATAAAGTCCATGCTGCTGAGTTTCTTAACTTGATGAGTTCCTTTTTTTATTACACAGACTAATGTACAATGTTTGTAACTTGAATAAATAGTCAATTGCAGAAACATGTATGAATACATCATGGAGGAGTTACATCTACACAGTCTTCCATTTACACCCGGCCCTACAAGAGGAACTGTACTGCTAATGTCTCCTCCTACCCCCCGGGGAAAAGGACTATTACGCCCTTGGTGTACAACCTAGTGCAGCCGCGACTTCCTACCTTTATGTGGAGTTGGGCTCGCCTCAGCAGGTTGAGGGTGGTGTTCCTCACGGAGTCAGAGGAGAAGGGCACCTGCTCCTTCAGCTGCTCCAGGCAGTGCCGCAGCTGAGCTCGTCTGCACGGTAAACAAAACAGTTTAGTACGTACATATGTGACAGATCTAGATTAACAAACACACGTGCACAAAAATAACAATTACCTGTTTTTTTCCAGCTCATTGTGAACCGACCTGTAGGTAAAAAACAGACACAGGTTCAACCGCTGAGACACATTCATGGCAGTAAGTCTGAATTAAAATCAGTTAGTTTTAGTTTAGCAGAAATAGCAGCAATGATACGTGTGGCTAACAAGATAGATTTGAATGTTGATAAATTAGATAAAATAAGCATTTAATTCATGCCATATGTGGAACAATTGCAGCAGAAACAATGAATAGCTAATGTAAATATGACCTGGTTTGTCTAAGCTTATTAGACACAACAGTGTTTTTATAGAAAGTGAGAATGCTGTGCAGCCACACCCTTTCTTCAGTTAGGTGTTATGTAATGCGTTTTTTTTTTACCTACCTATTGCCACCAGCAGATATCTTCTTGCTTTTCTGTTTGTTCTTCTTATCAGAGTGACCTGGGCTGAGGGGGAGGACTGAGGCGTAACCGTGTTCTGCCTCTGTACGGAAGAACAAATACAGTAATGAAGTAACCGCTGCGTGATAACAATACTCAGACACAGATCACACTGACAAAACTATCAGTCTCGTCAGAGTGTGATCTGTGTCTCAGTGAACTGTGATTTTTAATCTTATGTTATTACAGAGAATCCTAAACAGGTTCATATTATTTGAAATAAAATAAAACAATAAAACATCCGGACCTACCTTCTGACACTTGTAAAGCCATAGGATGTAAATATGAGCTTAGTCCTTTACTCTAAATGTGCATCTTATGTACACACCGTTGTTATAATTGACCAAAATGTACAGAAACGTAGCATTCATCCAAATATTTATATGAAAAATCAAAGTTCTTGATTGACACGGAAAAAAACTCAAAAACTTGACCAAACTACAACAACAATGGGGTAGAGAGGTAAAAACAAAGGGGTAAAATTGGTGGAGCTAAAAAAGAAAGAGCAGCAGCAGATGTATAATAGTACTACACTGTTATGTAATGACAATAGCAGCAATACCCGCACATTAGTAGTAGTAGTAGTAGTAGTACGGTTCGAGACAGAAATATATATATTATTAGATTACAAAATACAACGATGATTATGAAGCAGTTATGAAAACATTATTGGTGATAACGGTAGTGTTGACGAAAACTGATGCTGCTCTCCTCAGCTTCAAATGCTGATGCTGGGCGGTCGGTTTTGTTTGGGGTTTTGGCGCCATCGAACGTCAATTATCCACTTCTACACAAACGGTTTTGGAAACATTTCAGCTCCGTCCGGTCGGAGAGCGGGTCTGCGGTGTGAATGTTAAAGAAAATGTGCTGCGCGATCGGTTTTCGGACCCGGTTTCATTGATCGGACTCTGCGCCGCTCAGAATCATTTTCAAACGGCATCAGATTGGCGCCTTCCACCACAATGACGCCTCCCAAATGTAGGTCAGTGAGTCAAACAGGAAAGCTTGCCCGAAATCGGCCTCTAACAAAAATCAAGGTGGACACTTTGACACATATCGTTATGCGGTGTCCCCTACGTGTGTTCTGCGTGTAGAATTAGTGTCGCTTCATTGTGCATTTTGTTGTTTTAACGACCACTAACTTCCTCCCCCTGCAAGCTGAGAGTTCCCAGGAAAAACAACCTACCTCGCTCTTTTCTCTCCAGAAACTCCGCCGCCCGCAGAAGCACCTGGATGTTACAGACGTGTCCTTCCATTCTGGCTTGTTTTCTGTGTAAATAAAACAGATGCGGCTGAAAACCGATGGCAGGTCCGGGCTCTGGTAGCCTGTAAAGATGAAGCTGTCTGTGTCTGGGCTGCTGCTGCTACGTCCTCACTGAACGCAACCCCAACAGTGCCGCTGATGCCTTAAAGGACCACAGGCAAGCTCGGACTTTTTACAATGATTCCACAATTAATCTGGCATTTGTAGAAATCACATGTAACTACTACATGTTTCCAGGTCGGGTTAAATAATTTAAAATAGTTTAACAAAAAAGGTAAACACGCTGTAAGCATCGTAAATTTGGACACGGACTACATTCACGTCTATCTATTTAAGTCTCTGAACACCACACACTTTCTTAGTCTCTCATATCACAGACATTAAGAGCTATCACCTTTTCTGTCAATAAATAAATAAATAAATACATACAATACATACAATAACAAAACAGACAGCAGTACTTGGGGATTAAAAAAGTAAATCCCACAAAAAGGTGTTTAGTGGGGGGGGGAGAAAGTCCGTCCAAGAATGGGTCAAATCGAAACAATGTCTTAATAGCTCGATTTCCAGAGAAACTTGAAAGCATCGCCGAAGGACGTAAAACGTCACTGTCAAGCCCCCGATCCCTCCCCGTCACAGTATCTTTGTTTTTCAGAGATTCACAATAACATAATAACCTTGCTATATGTTGTATATTCGCCTAATCTAACCTAAAATATGAAAACACAACGTATGATGGGTGTTACACTGTCGTGTGTTCGAGTGAAACACGCGCTGCCCTGCTTCTAAAACGGACGGATCTGTCCGTGACAAAAATGAGGTCAAAGTTCAGAGAAACGAAACATAATAACGTTGATAAAAACATTACAGCTTAATATGGGTATGAGGAACTAACCTAATACTCATATTACTGTGCTACTAGTATTGGTTCTACAAGAACCACTATTACTAAGTTACTCTAATAAAAATAAAAATACGTTTTTATAGTTATAACTACTGTAGAGGTAACTGCTTGTATTTTCTTTGTCGATTTCTGTCTTTATCTGTCCATTGCTGATACACCAACAAATGAAAATTTTCGTCACAGATTAGAGTTGGACTGAGATTACTGAAATTAGCTGAGTTGTGCAGCTCAAACCTTATCGTATAATATTTTCCTTTACTCAGATCTGTTTCATTTTCTTTTCATTACATCACTGGGTCAATTCAGAGTCAGCAGACAGTGTATACTGGCAGCATCTGGTGAGGATGTCTCAGAAATTAATTGAGGACCTGGGCCTCCCTCTCAATAACAGATGATGGCTAAGGTCATGTTACACAATGGTACTCTGAGGCCCCGTGGGGCCGGACTTATGTTTATAGTTCTAACACATAATGACATCTCGTAGCAATTATGTTTCAGATTTGTGGCCCTGCCTATATTCTGTCCTTTGTAATTGTATTACTGATAATTGTTAGGAAGAAAATCCTAACAAAAATCATAAAAAAACATTTTGGTTTTCAGAAGAAGGAATCCCTTAAAACAATGAATAATATGTATATTAGTGGCCCTAAACATTCGTTTTTTGCTGTCTATAACATATGACACCATCAAATCCCCTGCCCATTAATTCTTTTAAATGTCCACACACATTATTTAAAAAGTTTAACTGCATATTTGGAGCGGAAATAAATGTTTTACCGTCCTCCATATGTTAACAAAGTGGGAGGGGACGTGTGACCGTACTAAATATGGCGGTATAAGGCTTCACTGTCTACGTGCGATCGCAGTTGTAGTTTCCGTACGTAAGTGAAGCCTCCTTGCCCGCAGTATCTTTAACCTATGAACTCCTGAATGTGCCAGCCCTCCGCCATATTGACTGTTGTCTTGACTGGAGGAGATAGAGAACATTTTGAGGTCCGAGAATAAGCGAAAGTGTGCTCTGAAATTTGTCAAAACTGGTGCAAACTTGGTTAAAGCGAAACCTAAACGCTGTCGTAATGGCGAGAAAGAAAAGCAAACAACAAGGTGTCGCTCAGAAGGAACTGGCGCCTGGACAGCAGACAGCAGCGAAAAGCCCTGTCTCTCCCGGCGATGCAGCAGGCGGCGGTGGCGGTGAAGATGCTGGGCTGGATAGGCTGCCCACTACCAGGGCGAACCAGGTAACAGCGAGTCAAATCGCTGCTTTGCAAATAGGCTAGCTAGCCTAGCCTGCTAATCCAGGCATCCTCTTTTGTGCTTTGATTTTTCCGGAGCCACATCCTCCAAAAGTGAACACCTCACACATGTTTTTAGACGAAAAGCTGTTTTAGTCTGAGTGCAAAAGGCGCTGATGTGATCCGTGGATGTCGTCTAGAGATGCGAATAAAATAAATAAATAAATCGCACAACTTGGAGAGCAGGATCGTCACCGTCAGCCGGCTTTTGGGCAGTAGTACAGGCACTGCAGCCCGTCTCCCGATCGCACACAGGTGACATTGTGTCTCGGGTCAGGTCGGTTGAATTTGTAGCCTTTACAGCTCTTCATCCGCCCTGCTAACGTTAGCCTAGAGGCTAACCGGGCTAAGACTAGCGTGCTGCAAGCGTGCTGGCTGCCGAGCGACAGTGGATCCATCATCTGGGACCACACCGACCGTGGCTGTTATTTAGATTTTACATGCACATATTACAAACAACACAAACGTGTTTTTGATAACTGCAGGAACTTGCAGTGGTTGTCAACCAGTGATGCTAACAACCAACTAGTTGTTAGCGTCACATTTCTGAGTAGAGATGATGTGAGGAGCAGCAGCTAGTTACTCTGTTATGACGAAGTTCTGACCACACGTGTAAGGATGCTTTTGCGTCCATGTCTCACCATAACAAATATCACTGCGTCTTTGGGCACCAGTGTTGCACGATTTACTTGGAAAAGAATCACCGTATTTTAAAAACATGTAAACTCTTTTAATTAAAAAATGTATTGTTTTGAAACGTTCATAAACATTACATAAGGATTGTATTTTTTCAAATAGACAGCATTATTTTAAAAACACAACTGCTTAATAAAATCAATTATAATTTAATATGATCTACATACGGGTCCCAACAAACCAGGCTCTTGTACTTTTTATGTATTTTTATATAAAATGCAATGCCTCCAGATGGATGTTTTTTTACTAAGGCTTTGTTTTTTACAGTTAAATTTCAAATTGCTTTTTGTAGTAAAATGCCTCTGTAGAACAACATATGCGCTTTTTCTGTGACAATGGAAGGCTGAGTCATCGCATACAGTAACTATACAGTTATTATTCATTTTGAATTGTTTAATGCATGAATACAAACAACAAAACACAGTCAGATTTAGTTTGTATTCAAATGTCTTTTGGTCCAGATTTTTGTGTTGTTGTTTTTTTCTGTATTACCCGGTAAACTCATTTGTTTCCTCTTTGTTCTTCTTCTTTCCAGCCCATGCACACCTGCTGCCTCCTGTGCCACCGTGAATTTAAGGACTGGGGAGCAGGCTCTGTGAATGGACTCCCCGGGGGCCACGGGACCAAGTTGGCTGATGCTGTGCCTGCACTCTCCCAGGCCTTATTGCGGGAGGCGCCTGGACGGAAGCTTGCTGATGCGGTGCCCTCGCTGTCCCAGTCCCTGCTGGGAGAGGTGCCTCTGTGGATCTGTCAGAGCTGCTGTAAGAGTGTGGAGGAGGAGGAGAGGCGGAGCAACCAGGAGCAGCCGGCATCGGTAAATAAAAGTAGACAGAGATAGAACGGCTCCCCTTTTTTGGTTTCACTGTAGATTGAAGCGTCTTAATGGAATTGTGAATGGCAAAAATTTGACCCTGGCTATGTCGTCCTAATTGTGATGTATATCAGCTGTTTAGTAATCTAAGTCTGAATATTCAAGTCAGATTTGATCTGACTATTACGTCATTGAAGTGAACAGACGTCGCAATTTTGTGCCGGACAACACAGAACAAGACGAGCTCAGATGTAAACAAATGACAAAACAGGACAAAAGACATTGGTGGAGGAGATAATCAGTGGAAAGAACACCTGTCAAAGTGTTGCTGGGCAGAGAGGCCAGCGATGGCAACCTAAGAATTGATGCCCTGTGACAACAAGCATCCGAAATAACTTCCGTAAGCACAGTGTGCAGCTTTTCATATCACATTGTGACTGTTTTCTTACTCTATGTTAATGCTGTGGCTCTTGTTGCTCTTTTTTTTTCTGGTGAGATCCCTTTGGGGCGTGTTTTTTGGTTGTGAGAGGAAACCAGGAAAAAAAAACATTCACACACGGGGAACACACACAAACTTCATACAGACTGATTGACTGACTGGGGTTTGAACCAGCAAATCGGAGATCTTGTTGCTGTAAAGGCAAGAGTTTTAACAACATTTGCCACCATGTGACCTATGACCTTCATCAGACTCCAGTGTGAGCGGTCAACACCCCTGAAGGGACCCGCACCTGTAGAATACGTGGGGTGTTAGCTTGTGTGTTTCCATTTAGAATGTGATCAATGTGAGTCAGTCAGAGTCTCTGCTGCCCCCACCCCCATCCCCACCCCATGCAGGGGCAGTTACAGACCTCTGTCCAGCTTTTGCCCCTCAAAGTGCAGATCTCTGGGGTCTGTCCTGTCACCGCTGAACAATTTTGTTCACTCCACCAGCGTTGTTTACATTTTATCTGCTGCGTGCCCCTCTGCTCCGACACTCCGAATTGTGACGTCTGTCTGAATTCAGTTGCTTTGAAAAACACTGCATACGTATCTGATTTAAGAACACTTAACAAAGGGTTCTTTTTTGGTGTTTAAACTGTCAAAAATATATAAAATCAGATATGGGTCACATATTGGCAAACATATAAGCTTAAGGGCGACCTGTGAACGTAGCCTCAGAGTTGTCACTCAATAACATGCACCTGTCCTACTGGCACATGCAAAGAAAAAAAAATTAGTGTAAATGCATCGTTGCATATATTGCGTTTACACCTGTGTCATTACATCATCACTGTCTCTGTGTCATATGTACGGAATAAGTGCGTTGAAGTAACGACAGTCTAATGTGAAAAGCTGTGTCATGGCAGATACACAATGTTGTTCAAGACCTTTTGTTGATGAGTGTCACACACTGGAAGTCGTTATTATAATTATGTTGTTAACATAACAACAGGCTGGAAGGAGATGCTAGTGCCAAAGCTGTGAGCACATTGATGCAGACATGTGACTAACTGAGTGCTCGTGTGTGTTTGTTTGTATGTGTGTGTTTTTCTGCAGGTGCCATTGTCACACTCTTCCTCCTGTAAGTCTCAAAGCTGTGGGAACGGTTACTCAGAGCAAAGTACTGTAGACTGGGACCCCAGTTCCTTCCTGTCAGCCCACAAACTGTCAGGTCTCTGGAACTCCGCTCACACCAACGGAGGGGATCACTGCACCCACAACACTTCTTCGCACTCGCAACAAGGTCAGTCCGTGGGGAGACATGGTTCCAGGCACTGCAGGAAACACTTGTCTGTGTTGTGAATTTGATTGGGTTCAGATTTATTTTAGTTTGATTTGGAACAGTGACTGGTTTGTCAGCAAGACTTGCTTGGCAGTAACGATGTGGCACATTTTTGGCATCTGTGTGCCGCGTGTGCTTTTGTCTTCACAAAACAACAACATGGCGTCCTGTGAAAAGCTTTTGATGCTCTACCTTATAAAGCGCTCACAGTTTATTTTAGGTGTGTTACTGCTGTGACACCTCGGCGAGACGAAGATGAAAGAGTTATGATCGAACTAGAAATCAAGTTGTTCCTAGTAAAATATCCTGAATTCATTATTTTAGATTATTCATCTGTCATATCTTTGGGTGTGTAACAAAATCAGAACCACAGCAGACCAAATGACTACATTTACAATGCGTGTAAAAGTGGCCCATATCTGATTGTATTTGCCCAAATGGGGCCTGAAATGTCTAGTAATTGATTTTGAAAAATTACTGATAAAAATACTATATATGAAGGTTTCTTTCTGTATGGATTTAACAGTGTCTCCTGGGGTTGCCAGAAATTTGTGATTTTGTGTCAAAATGGGGTCACAAACCAAAAACTAGACTTAGTAAGACAGATGTTGCAGTTTTTGCCACAGGTGATTCCATAAATAAAATGTAAATAATGGCCAAAACAAACACAGAAAACATGAAAACATGTCATTGTTGACTACAACTCATTGCTGAAATCCTCATGTGACCACAATTGGTTCAGAAGCATTTTTACTTCCTTTCTGGACTTTTATTTTACCACATTGTCAATCTCAGACAGATTTAGAAATTCTGCTTCTTCTTCTTGTTGTTTCTCCAGAAGTGTCTTGACTGTTTCTTTCCCTCCTGATGAAGTATCTTTACTTTGGGTTAAAATGGAATTAGCGCAACTGCTACATGGGCAGTGCATATTCCTGCTAATCATGTCTGTAATCCCTTAATCTGAGTGACTGACTCTGAAATATGTTGTAGTTGGACTGTAGTTTTACGCAGAGAAAATGTTGTCTTTGTGGCACAGTAATCACACGTAACAAGATCTTTAAACTTTAAGGAGGGAAAGTTATTTCCTTTGGGAAGTTTTACCTCAAATTGTCTCCTTTTTTGAGTTTTCATCCAGATGAACATTTGTGTCAAAAATGTTTGCAGAAAAATCACTACGCATGCTGTTTCACAGAGGGAATTAATTTATTTTTTATTTATTTATTTATTTTGTTAATTACTTTTTTTACTTTATCGCTCCTGTTTCTGTTAACCCTGCAGGTGTAACACCAAGCTCCGTCTGTCTTGAGAAGAGGGGGCTTCATGAAGCTCCAGGGAAGTCTGCGAAAATATCAGGGACCAAAGTCTGTCCCTATAGTCACCCGTCATCCCAGAATTCCAGCGGGTCTTCTGTTGTGAACCCCTTGTCTACCTCAGCAGACCTTTGTAAAACCACTCCCAAGCACTTCAAGACCATGTGCCGGCGGCCGACACCACCAGGTGATATTGGCCGTCTTTAATTCTGGATCAAATCCTAGCATTGGCATCTAAAAATGCATTTATTCCAGCAGTTGGTCACAGTAGGTTCTGGAATAACTCAAATTGATACTTTGTCGGGAAGTATGTTTTATTTCTTCCTGAAATCCTAAATCCTTTTTAACTTGTCTCCTCACCCCCACCTGTCACTACTGCTTATTGTCACCTTCAAAGTGTTCTTCTGGTAAACATTTGCCCTTGTCTATGACAACCATACAGGAAGAGAGCACTGACTGTTCAGATGCAAATACCACCATACACTTCTAGTGGCCCATTTAAAATAACTTTGGAGAATGTAATTGTAATTTTATGATACTAATTTTTTTACAGAACCCTGTTGCACAATATTTAACACTTGTAATTAGCGCTGTTTGTCTGATGGCGCTCATTCAAGCCAGTACTGATTCACACCCTGCCACTTTTATGACCCATGGTTTGTTTGTATCAGAGTGTATCAGAGCCAATGGGCAAAATAATAATTATAAGGAAGGAGAGTGAACTACTTGTCATTGTGACACAGCACACCACTGCACACAACCAAAGCAGCCCATCACCAAAGTGAACAGTGGGCAGCTCAGCTGCTGGTGGACTCGAACCACTGCCCCTATAATAACTAATAGTCCTAATGCTAATGATCCATATAGATCTGCATTACTCAGTGAATCCTGTGACGTAAATTGTCCAAAATGAATTTGAATCTTCATCAATTATTTTTCTCACCCAGGGGAAGCCTTCCACCCCGGCGACCATCATCAACACACAGACTTGTCGGTCCCTCCCAACAGTCCCACCGGCCTGTCGTCCCAGCATTCCACCCTCCTGCCTCCAAAACCGAGCTCCGGGCAGCACGGTCACGTCACCTCCTCGTCAGGCACCGGTGTGGCGGCTCATGCGACCCACGCAGCTCACGCTCCTTTTTCCCCGCTGGTACCAAATCTCCATGGCCCCACCGCCAAACTTAACTCCTCCAGCCCCGATAGTCCGACATCTGTCCATAAGCCCAGCCCGTGCAAAAACTCCCACATTCCTCCTGTGAACACGCAACACAGCAAACTGGGCCCCTCTCTCATAGGCTGTAATCACCCCTGTAATGGGCACAGTCAGGGGACAGTGGCGCCTCCTAGTGTTGGTCATCTGACAGCTGGGGCCTGCAGGTATGTACTGACATGTTGTTGCTGCCAAAACTGAAATGGAATCTGACTTTTATGACAAAGATTGTTGTGTTATTAAGGCCATTTATTTTCCAACTTTAGGGACCAGGCTTGTAAGGGTCACAAAATGACAAATGGGACATTGTGTCACCCGACATCAGAGCTGGAGGAGGGAGAAGATGAAGACAGCAGCTCTGAGAGGAGCTCCTGTGCTTCGTCTTCGACCAACCAGAAGGATGGGAAGTACTGTGACTGCTGCTACTGCGAGTTCTTTGGACACAATGCGGTACTACACTTTTTAACATGTTGTCTTTAATGATGACTAAAAGTTTCTTGTTATTAAACATCTCCTGCTCACGTGATATAAATATAGTAATTTTCTGTTTTTGGTCATAGCCTCCAGCTGCTCCAACCAGCCGGAACTACGCTGAGATTCGAGAAAAACTCCGCTCACGTCTGACAAGACGTAAGGAGGAGCTGCCTCAGCGCCAAGACTCAGAACTGACCGCAACTGGTGTCATAGACAACAGAGATGTGGACGAGCTGCTAGACTTCATAAACAGTTCCGAACCCAAACCTGTCAACAGTGCCAAGGCTGCGAAACGAGCTCGACATAAACAGAAAAAGAAGGTACGAAGGAGTCATCCCTTCAGCTGAAAATGTTTGTTTTGCACAGACACTAACTTACATACAACTCATTAAGGCGGTGAAGCATAATAAGGTTGATGTCTATAAAATAACATGATAGTCATGAATCCAAGTCAGATGGATAGATGTTTATAATCAAGTGTAAATAAGCGTGGTCTGTAGTGAATGTTCTTTGTCTCATTCTTGTTTCGCGTCCGTTCTCAGGAAAAAGCTCAACAGGGCAACACGGGTGCTGCAGGCAGTGAACCCCAGTCCAGTCCATCTGAGGCTGCGGATGAACCCGCACCTGACGGCACTGAGGCCAGTCGGTTACTGGACTGGCCTCAGCTGGAGCTTGAGCGTGTAAACAGTTTCCTCACCAGTCGACTGGAAGAGATCAAAAACACCATCAAAGACTCAATCCGGGCCTCGTTCAGCATGTACGACCTCAACCTGGACGTCAATGACTTTCCAAAGAAGGCAGCCACGTTGGAGGGCAACCATTTGTTGTCCCACCTGAACGGTTCATCACAGATAGTCCTGGACCTCGCCCCTTTTTCCCGGGGATCCTTTAAGAACCACCTCGATCTGGTTAATGGATGGGAGGATACAAATACCAACAACAACACCACCACCATCACCACCACCAATAACAACAACACAACGGCACCGGGGGTCACCGTTGGGTCGAAGGACATCCAGCGGTTGCACAATACTCCCAATCTATCAAAACTCATTAGGGTTCGTTCTCCAGAGAGAGGCACAGCTATTGGCACAGACAGTTTGCCACAAGTGCCGCCCATAGCCACAGCTAAATCAAAAGAAGACGCCCCTGATCCTAAGAACGCAGTGGCTGGAAACAGCAGTGGAAAGTCAAAGAAGAATAAAAAGCAGCAGCAAAAGCAGGAGCAACCTGAGCTCAATTCCAGCAAAACGGTCAAAGCTGCTGTGTCCAGGAACGAAGTGCAGAGAGCGAGTGAGACGAAAGAAAACGCTTCCAATGGCACTAAGGTAATGAACAACAAGCAGCAGCAGCAGCAGCATCACTCTGCAGACAGCCAGAAAAATGGCCTCAAGAAGACGGAGGAGAGCCGATCGTCCAAACATGCAGCTAACGGTGCTAACGGTGGCCTCCCTAATGCACAAAGGGGTAAAGGTGACACCGACGCCCGGGCAGGTCGATGTGAGCAGGATGCCGAGATCAAAACTCCCATCGGCACGCCGGCAAATGGACAGCAGCAGCAATCCAAGGGGAAGAACAAGAAGAGCAAGAACAAGGGTGAAAAGTCCAGCAGTGCTATTGGTATGACACAAAAAATGAATCAACACCTGTGATATTTTTTTCTCTTTTTATCATATCCTAATTTTTTTTTTTTTCTCCTTTAGACGACGTGTTTCTTCCGAAAGATGTAGATCCAACAGAAATGGATGAGATTGATCGTGAAGTGGAATACTTCAAAAGGTAGACTATGGATCTGAAAGGATTTGAAGAAAAATTAGATTTGCTTCTTAATTGTGTCATTAATTCTGAGTGTGGTGTGATTTTTTTTTTTTCTCTCTTTCTGCAGGTTTTGCCTGGATTCTGCAAAGCAAACTCGCCAGAAAGTGGCAGTCAATTGGTCCAACTTCAGTCTCAAAAAAGTTCCTTCCAATGCAGCTCAATAACTAGGGTTACAAGTGCCAGAAATACACAAACAAACAAAGAGAGAAAGAAAATCACGACAGCTTTTCAGCAAAGCCCCGTTTGGCCCGAGGCCTTTTCTCATTCCTGGTTTTTCCCCCTCTTCCTTACAAAGCCAAGGGACCCTGGTTCAATTTTGAAGACTGAAACAATTTCTGGCTATAAAACCAGGGATGATTCTCAAGTTCAACTCTACCTTTTTGCTTTTATTGCAATGATCACTAAATGACAGATGCAAACATGGAAAAAAGTGACTCCACTGCATCAATGTGCTTACGTATGTAGTATGTAAACAGTTACCTTACAAGAAATAAATGTTTTTATCACAAAATGTGAGACATTTTAACGTTGTTAAACTTGTGAGATCCTGTGGGTTTGATTTGGTGCTCTTCTTCCTCCCCCCTAAGATCGACCACTCCAGCTCCTGTAGGCACAACAGAACATTTGACTTGAAAAGTGACAGAAAAAGACGACGATATTAACCAATGGTTAAATAGTAAAAATTCTTCGGCAAACAAAGCAGGTTGAGAGCTAACCACGGATAATTCAAAATTTACAATTTTGATCAATTGCAATACTTTGGAAAAAAACTGACCTGTGTCAGATTTTCAATGCTGCGTTCACACTAACGCAGTAAGACGGTGTGAAAATTACTTATATAGTAGTAAAGCTCACGGGATGAATTTTGAATACATTACCCTTTCGTAGACACCAATGCATGATATTGTCTCCTCCACCAGGCAAACTCCAATACCTCTTTTGAGTAGGTATCAGTCCATGGGAATGAACTTGAATTGTTGTGCTTTTAGTGACGTTCAATACGCATCTGGTAGAAAATGGTCTGTTTTCACTCCAAAGCTGTTATTCCAGGCTCCCTCCAGATATGACTGGAACGCCAGCGTGCTATGACCATTTCAACTTTGAAATCAGCTGACTTGTATATTGTGATTATTTCTGGCTCTTTTGAGCCTTTGCCACTTAATAGCGCCCCAGCCTCAGCTCTTATCTCTCAACTCCACTGCTTGATTTATTTTATTTTATTTTAATTTTTGTTATTTCCTAAGAGATTATACCGTTTAAATCAAAAGCTGCGGATGTAATCCAGTGTTGATGTTTAGGATGATTTTCTGTCCTGAGTCTGTGCTCAAATTTTCTTTCAATATAACGTTTCTGATGCTTTTCAGGTTATACTCAATTAGGAGAATTTTATCTTCTTTTTTTTTTTAATTGTAGATTTATACTATTCCAATTATGGCCAAGTGTATGTTGGCTTGTGTCTTTTTTAAATTCATTTTTGATACTGTGAACAATCTTTCAATTAGAAAGATTAAAAATAATACAGTTTTGACAAATAATAGTGTGGTGTTTGATTTTCAATTCGTTCGATTTTAGCTTTAGCTTTAGAATTTCCAGTATTCTTTCATTTTCAACAGCTGCCCCTTTCGCGTGTCTGTACACATTGCGCTTTGCCGAAGTTTGACCCATTCCGCATCCCGTTCACAACGTTACAGTTTCCGGTGCCGTGCAAACTATGGTGGCCGAGTTTTGACTTGCGAACGATATTTTGTTAATAACAAAGTAAAGTAGAATTTTGTTAATAAAACGTGATTTATTTGAGGTCGTCGACATATATTTATCACAATGGAGACCGACACACACGCTCAAAAGGTACGTAAAATCCATGTTATATGGTTTAACTATCGCAAGATGAAGCCATTATATGAGCTAACTATGGATAGCTAGTTAGCCAAGCTGCTATTCATGCGTACTTTTGTTGAATTATTAGATAGATGCGCTTCTATATCAGTAACAACGATCAGTATTTACTTTAAATAATAACTGTTTATTTCAAAGTACCAGAGAGAGTTTCGTGAAATCTTTTTGCTTGATCGTTTGTTCACTTCAAGTAATGAGTTCATAATGGTGTACGTTTTATGTTTGTTTTGTGTTGGAGTGTGTAACATAGTCTGTTAAAATGATTAAATTATTTTTTTTGTGAATTTACAGCGGTCTCACACCGAGAATGAACGGTCTGGTTCAGGAGGATCGGAGGACGACGATGATTATGTTCCTTACGTCCCGGTCAAAATTAGAAAAAGACAAATGGTAAGCCCCTGTCATTGTAAAAAAAAATATATATAACCACACTGTCATGTTTAAAACTCTAGAAACATATTAAAAAGTTACTGCTGAGGTGTATGTACTGTACATGTTAAACTTTCTTTAATCAGATCTGATGTTCGTTAATATGTTGGTCAATGTATTTGTCACTTCCTATAAATTGTTAAAGGTTTCCATGTGCATGCATTGTAGTTTTAATTAATGTCACACAGATACTTATAATAGTTTTCATATCTAATGCATTTTAAACTTTACTTCACAGTTACAGAAAATATTGCATCTGAGAGGAAAAGCAATGGAGGGAGAGCACAAAGACAGTGGTGGGGAACAGCGAGACGAAGACGAAGGTCTTGGTCCACGTTCCAATGTCAGTCTCCTTGATCAGCATCAGCACCTCAAGGAAAAAGCAGAAGGTACAGGTTCAGCCTCAATTTTAGAAATACGTGTTTACTCCAGAGCGACTCTGTTACTTCAGTAGTTTGTTTTTGTGTCCACAGCCAGAAAAGAATCAGCCAAGGAAAAGCAGCTGAAGGAGGAAGAGAAGATTCTTGAGAGTGTTGCAGAAGGGAGAGGTAAAATAACAAAAAAATATTAAAACATTAGTTTCTCAAAAGCACAAAAATAACTCTGGAATTGTATGTTTTCTCTGCCAGCTCTGATGTCTGTGAAGGAAATGGCTAAAGGTATTATATATGATGATCCAATTAAAACAAGGTGAGAATTTCCATCTGGTAAATTTTTAAAACCTTTGTCCCTGTGAGTGCACTCTTGTACATGTAGATTTAACATTGTTTGTAATTTGTAGCTGGAAGCCACCGCGCTACATCCTGAATATGCCGGGCACTCGACATGAACGCGTCAGGAAAAAGTTTCACATCCTGGTCGATGGAGACGGCATTCCCGATCAAAAGCTTCAGGGAGATGAAGCTTCCACCAGGTCACAACAAATGCTTGACTCAAAAACATGCTTAACCTTTTTTTTTGTTTTACCTTGTTTTTAAAAAATGTTTGTTTTGTTTGCAGCTATTCTAAAGGGGTTAAAAAAGAAGGGTATCGTACATCCGACGCCCATTCAGATCCAGGGAAAACCTACAGTGTGAGTAGAGAATAAAGTTCACAGTAAAGTAGTGATACTAAGCTACATATTTCTGAGTTTTACACCAAGCCCCCGTTTGTGCTCAGTTTGTCAGGTCGGGACATGATCGGCATAGCTTTCACCGGATCAGGAAAGACGTTGGTGTTCACTCTGCCCATCATCATGTTCTCCCTGGAACAGGAGAAACGGCTGCCATTCTTTAAGAAAGAGGGACCGTATGGACTAATCATCTGTCCTTCAGTAAGATGTGTGCACCATAAATGTAGTAACAGGGGATTCAGCTTGAGACGTAAAGTTTTTTTTTCTGCATCTGGAAATATACGATTTTAATTATTTGCCTGTTATTTCAGAGAGAGTTGGCGAGACAGACACATGGCATCATCGAGTTTTACTGCAAACTGCTGGAGGAGGAGGGCACTCCACAGCTGCGTACTGCCCTCTGCATTGGAGGAATGTCTGTCAAAGAGCAGATGGAGGTAGTGAAACAGTAAGTAAAAAAAGTAAATTTTGTTTTGACTAAAATAAAGACACAGCTGTATTTGATTATTTCTTGAGTATATTTTTGGTGATATATGTATCCACCTGTTTTTTAGTGACCGAACCATTATGAAGTTTGCTCAAATCTGTCATATAAAAATGTTTTTTTTTTTTTTTTATTGTCCAGGAGGTAACTGTTTTGTTTTTATTATTTTAACCACAGTGGTGTCCATATGATGGTGGCTACACCAGGCAGACTCATGGACCTGCTGCAGAAGAAGATGGTCAGCCTGGACATCTGCCGCTACTTGGCTCTGGATGAAGCTGACAGGATGATTGACATGGGTTTTGAGGAAGACATCAGGACCATCTTCTCTTATTTCAGGGTGAGTTCTGCAACAGATTTCATCAGCGCAGTGCTTGTATAATTGCAAATGCAAAGTTTATCAAAATTGTTTTGATCGTTTCTTCATCAAGGGTCAAAGGCAGACGCTGCTTTTCAGTGCTACTATGCCCAAGAAGATCCAGAACTTTGCCAAGAGTGCTCTGGTAAAACCCATCACTATCAATGTGGGTCGAGCCGGAGCCGCCAGTTTGGATGTCATCCAGGTGTGTTCATCTCTGTCAGTAACAGATGATTGTCGTCCGAGTCTAAGATTCGCTGTTTGTGTTATAAACCTGACTCTTCTTTTGTGCCTGTGTACAGGAAGTGGAATATGTCAAAGAGGAAGCCAAGATGGTGTACCTGCTGGAGTGTTTGCAGAAAACTCCACCTCCGGTGAGTACTTTGATTGCAATAAACTGATGTGTGCTAAAGGTTTAAAAGATAAACATAGATTTTTTAAAAATTAAAATATTATGTGCTACCCTCATGTGACAGGTGCTGTTATTTGCTGAAAAAAAAGCTGACGTAGACGCAATTCATGAATATCTGCTGCTGAAAGGAGTGGAAGCCGTGGCCATCCATGGAGGGAAAGGTACTTATTATCGAGAGATAATCGAGGTGTAGCAGAAAAATATCTAAATACGATTTCTGGACCATATCCCCTAGACATACGTTTATTACTTCAAAATGATTCCTGTGGAAAACAAAATCTCGTTTTCACGTACATACTCAGTCTGACCACAAGGTGTCGCCCTGCTACCATGTACTTGCGTGTCAATGGTTCCTGGAGCTTAGATGGTTATTTGGAGATGGTTACTTCTTAAATACCTCATTAGCCTCTCAGGTCAAATGTTAGATTCTTTTTTACTTCATTAACTCTGTCTGGGTAATTACTCTCAGCGTATACTCCAGTAATTGGAACGGACAGACAGGAGCAGCAGTGTTGCGGTTTTCTTAATAGTCCTGAGATGTTTTTGTTACCTGAACACACCAAAGTCTGCAGGAGCTGGGATTCAAACTGCAAATACAAGTGTTCTCCTTCAAGCACTTTGCCGCAGGCTGTCCATAAACTGAGCCCCTCTGTGACCCCTCTCCATGACTGAATATTTGATGTTTCTCTTTCAGATCAGGAGGAAAGAACCAAAGCCATAGAAGCATTCAAAGAAGGGAAGAAGGACGTTTTAGTCGCCACAGACGTGGCATCCAAAGGTCTGGATTTCCCAGCTATACAGCATGTGGTAAACTACGACATGCCTGAGGAGATAGAGAATTATGGTAAGACTGTGGTCCAGTGCCAGTTTAAGATCTGCAGATATGAACAACGCTGATGAGATCTTTTTACAAATGTTCTAGATCGATATATTCATATTAATGTGTGTATATAATTACAATGAAATATATACATATTTTTGTATATGTGGATTTGTGCATATGTGTATACATAGGTATAATTATATTGTGTATATATGTACTGTATTTATAATAATATATGTGTTTCTGTGTATGCCAGATTGTGAAAAGATGTGTTTCTGTGTATGCCAGATTGTGAGAAGAAATGTTGAAAAAATACAAATGATACCTCTTAATTTAAAGGGAAATTGTAATAATAATAATAATATTAGATAATAGTTTATTGACATGTTCTCACTTCAGTCCACAGAATAGGAAGAACTGGACGATCGGGCCAAACTGGAATTGCTACGACATTCATCAATAAAGGCTGCGGTGAGTGAAAAAACTAAATTAACCTGAATTTCAAATTTTAGAACACAAAAATATATAAAATATATATATGACACGTGTCTGTGGTTTATATTTTCCTTATAGATGAGTCTGTTTTAATGGATCTAAAAGCCCTGTTGGTTGAAGCCAAGCAGAAGGTCCCGCCTGTTCTCCAGGTTCTCCAGACGGGAGACGAAACCATGCTGGACATTGGAGGTAAGTCACACTGTTACAAATGGTTAGGTGAAGAGCGAGAAAATTCAGAAATTTTCAGTTCATACATGTCATATAATAATATGATAATATAAGAAATGAAATGTAAATTATTTTAAAATTGCTTTTATCAATAATCTCCTGTTAATCACATTGATTGGGGATCATCAGTGCTGAGCATCAATAATCTCCTGTTAATCACATTGAGACTGAAGAACTATATTCTATATCTGTGGAGCAGCGTTTACAGTACAGGTCATGTGACTAGGGCAAGGATCAGTGAAATCACATACAATACATGAGCATAGATATTGATAACACTTATATTTATAGCTCTGTGTTTGCGATTTTTCTTTCTCACAGTCTTGGTGTTTGTTTGTGTTTCTGCAGGAGAGAGAGGCTGTACGTTCTGCGGCGGTCTGGGTCATCGTATCACAGACTGTCCTAAACTGGAGGCCATGCAGACCAAGCAGGTCACCAACATCGGGCGCAAGGACTATCTGGCCCACAGCTCCATGGACTTCTAAGAGACACCGTGTGTCCTGTCGATGAACATCAGACATGTATTAGATAGGTCAGCCGATGCGGGCTGTGGTCTGAAGGAAGAATCCAGAACATTTGGATCCATGTTTTCATCATGTGAAATGTCAGACACATCACTAATGTGGCGGGGTTTTTTGTGTTACATGAGTAAAATCCAAACCTTTGCATCAAACAGAGAAAAACATTTGATCCAAAAAACAAGAAGTAAAACCAGTATCATGTAAAAAAAAAAAAAATAAAACAAACAAACAGTAAGTCAGGGTTCAGGCAGGTTGAAGGACTTTGAAGAGCATGTATTTTCCAATGTAAAACGTGTATATGGGTTGATCATGGGATGCTGTACTTCATGTTTTGAGTAATTGTTCAGCCCTGCTGCTGTGTTTGTCGTCAGATGTTTGACAATAGGATCGGACGCTCGTTTTTTCAACTCTTGTGTGAATAGTTTGTACCATACCTTTTTGATACTCTTATGCTGGCATTTGTAAATTAAACTTCTCTGTCTTCTATCTGTTAGTGGGAGTTGTTGTCTTAAAGAATGGAGAGTGGTGCTGGAAGGAAGTTACTAAAAGAGGCAAAATAAAGCAAAGGGAAGTTTGACTCAACGATACTGCAACAGATTACTCTGCACCTCTTGTTTCGCAACTGTGACGTGATGCCATGCTGTGGCCAGATGACTGATAACTGGTGAAAAGCTTAAAAGGGAAACGTCAGATGAACCGCTGAGGCACACGGAGCTGCAGGTAGTGAACAGAAGCGAAGAAAAAAAAGTTTGAGCTTTTGAAAATGGAAATTCTCATGGAAGGGATGCTGTACATTCAGGCTGTCAGGTTTGGAAAGGTAAGACTCATTTAGCTGATTAGTAAAATATTATTTTCATCTTCGTAACGCACACTAGGTGACTTGATATATATGTTTATAAAAATATATGTATAAATATATATGCCTGCGTATATATATTTGTGTGTGTATATACATATTTTACACGTAGCAAGTACCTTGAAAGAAGATCATTGTATTTCCTCACATTGTTTGGTGTTGCTTCATGGGATTTTTTTTTAAATTGTTTTCTTGTGTGTATGTAAAATTTGTGCCTTGTTTCAAAAAGTTAAAGAAACTCAGCCTGGTTTAGCAGTGTTAAAGAACATTCATATGTTTATGTGTCCTTTATGATCCTCCACTGACAGAAAACCTGGAGGAAAACATGGGGGGTGCTGCACAACCCCAGTTCCAAAGGTGTCGGCCGGTTGGAGCTCTACTCCATAGTGAACAACAACGCTGTCTCTAACCAGAAGAAGTGGAGTCGACTGAAGACACCGGAGAGCAAGACCGTACGTCTGAGCGACTGCCTCAGTGTCTCCACTGCACCAAAGGAGTCCTGTCCTGACGGATGCTCTGCCTTCTACCTGCACACCCGACAGTGCATTTACACTCTGGCCTCCCTGCCAGACCAGGACTGGCTGAGCTGTCTGTGTCCGCTAGTCTTCCAGGTATCACACATCTCCCCCTGGTAACCGGTACAACTTCCCTCTTTTTAGGGATGGTGATTTTATTTGGAATAAAAGTATATTTACAGTCCCAGGCAGATATAACAATAAGGAAGTTCCTGCAATTCTGCCAACCTCACTTCTCCAATTCTTCTGCTTGCACAAAGCAGACACCTTCTTGAATCTTACCTTTCTGCAGCCATAAAACAACTGATAAGAGGGTGGTTCACACAGCCTTGTTTATCAAACTTCTGTGTTTACAGAGTGATTCTGAAGACTCAGACCTGGGGAGTTCAGAGAGAGGAACTGGTTTGATCATGAAGGACAACGACCTGTACTGTTCATGGACGACTGGTAACACGAGTGTCTCATCATGCATTTAAACACCAGCCTGTTAGATACAGTAGAGTGTAGAGGCTTTCAGAGGCCCTGGTTCAATGACTCTTTGTGTAATGGTTTTTAATGTGTGCCCTGGTGGAGCACATTACAAGTTAATATGATTTAAAGTACATAATTGAACATCTTGACATTACTATATTATGTTGACATTGTGGGAAGGAGCTGTGCAAGTGCAAACACGTCGATGATCCATTTCCTGTATCAACTTTAGGTCAGATAATAATATCACACATGTTCCACAGTTGTTTCCTGCAGCACTAATCAGTTCCGTCTCAGTCTGCGGTTTGTCCGTTTTTACTCAGAATCAAACCTTCCTCCGAACACCTATCGAGTGACTGTGCAGAGCACAGAAGCATCCCGGAGGTGCAACCTGTCGGGGACCTACCTGTTCTCCCCAGAACCAGAGGCTGTGACTCTGCTGACCTGCAATTCTGGTCACGTCCTCTACACCTGGTCGTACAGACAAATGCGCAGGTTAAAACAAGTCGAGGTAAAACCGAGGACCGTGATCTGAGCAGCTTTGTTAGAGTTGTCCCAAAGCTGCACCCTGCCACGCAATGACTCCACGCTCCCCACTTTTAGAACCACTGATATAGACTACGTGCAGTAGAGATAGTGTTGACAATTTTTCTTATTCTAGCCAGATTAGTCCGAGGTTATGATAACTGTTTTAGCTAAATTTATAAATTGTAGTATTGATAATTAGGCTGTTATTATTAAAACAGCTTCCTGTTTAGACTTTGTTTTGATTTTGTCTTGTGGACCAACTTTTATGAAAGTGTTAATGTTTATAAATTTCTCCCCCATTTGAAATTCCACAGTTGAATAATGATTCATGGCTGTGATTTCAGGGTGGATTCTCCTTTGAAGCACGCCGTGGCTGTCAGTCAGGAAACGGCGTCTTCGTCTTCCTCTCTGCTCGTGCACCCGAGATCCTCCAGACAATATTAGAGCAGTGCTCCGTGCAGACCAGCACATCTGTCCCGCCACTTACCGACAACCACAAGTCATTGTGTGACCAATTTCCTACTGTTGTCCAAACAGTGACCCACCCACCTGCTGCTCCTGCTGTCTACGCTCCTGAAGACGACCCCGCAGAGACGGAGCACGAGTCTGACAACATCTACTCCAACATTAATCTCCGCCCTCGCCCCCAGCCGTCTCTCTCCACGCCTTCCATTTCGATCAGCACGGAGGCTGTGGGAGATGAAAGCGAGAATGACGACGACGACCAGTGTTACTACCTGTCGGCTCTGAGCCTGGATGATCACAGAGACGGCAGCGACTTCTTTCACTTGAGGAGAACCATTTCTGCTCCAACCGAAGAAGACGCCTCACAGTGCGTCTATTCTGCCGTGAAAAAGACCAAATCTTCCACGGAACCCCAAGTGGAGACTTTCTACTCTCCCCTCCCTCCCCCTCCTCCCTGCCCCCCTCCTCAGCCTGTTTCCTACACACCCTACCCCAAGCCAAGATACCAGCATCAGCTCTCTGTGAATAATTTAATCCAGCCAGGGCTCAGCACTCAGGCACAGGCAGTGGATGACATAAAGGAGATGGAAGAGGCCATCAGCTCCTCCACCCATGTCACCCCCACAGAGCCCCCCGGCAGTTTTAAATACAGGCTGGCAGCAATCATTTCTAAGGACCTGGCAAAGTCCCAGCCCGATCCTCACCCCACCGTGAGCGGCTCCACCCTCTCTTGGTAGGCTGTTAGTTAGCAGACAGACCAGGAGGAGCCATATTAGCCATGATAGATGCTCACGTGGGATCCGTTTTTTTTTTTTTTCCCTGTTTAATTTCACTCCCCTCCACTGGGACCATGAGGTGTCAGATGTTTAGTTTGCAGATGTTTATCTGTGCAGCCTGTTGTTTTTATTCACTGGATGGTTTGAGGCAAAACAGGATTCAATTAATGATGTTGTTCACTGCTGGAACTTAAGAGGGGCTGTGTGTGTGTGTGTGTGTGTGTGTGTGCCTCCCTGTTAAATTGGTGGATAGACTGAGACACAAACTAGAGCCTGAATTTGAGGACATGGCTTTAAAAGGAGATATTATTTTAATGTCCTTTGACCTTTTAACCGAGTTAAATTTAACCAGGTCAGGAAGTCACGGATCTGTATTGTGTTTAGTCAAAGGAAGGTGATTTCCAGAGTTTAGAATGTTTTATCTGATTCATATCCTTTGTGATTAATCACAAATAATGACGATCATAGTCCATCATGAAGCATCATTATTGCATTTAATCATGATTAATTGATATTAGTCAACATTCCTAAATTAGACAAATCCTTTGTCAGCTCTCTGCTGACTCATTCTCTTGCCAATGTTTCGTGCCTGCCTCGATTTGAAAACAATTGAACTGAAATTCGAGTTTTTGAGCTTTTGAGCCCAACGTGTGGTTCTGATTTCAAAAGTATCAGCTAATCAGATGAGTAACCTGAAGGAAGCGTCATTGAGTTAGCAGAAGTTGGCCAAAAAGAACAGCAAGATTAGAGGATAAGAGTTGAATGTGCAGAAGTTGGCCAAAAAGAACAGCAAGGTATGATAAGAGTTGACTGTTGTTGTTGTTGTTTTCTGATGGTAAATGAAGTCAAATTATTGCGCATGATGAAGCTAAGATCTAAAGCTAAAAGTTGACAGACGTTAACTGCTGGACAAGAATATGCTATAGTTTGAGGTAGCTAAATGTTAGCCAAAAAGATATACGAGAGTAAAAAAAAAAGGACTCTTGAATTGACTTACATTTTCTGAAAGAGTCCTAAAAAATGTGATTAAATAAATAAGGGCGAAGTGATTAAAAATGTGCTAAGGAACAAAACTGCCGTCCGTGTGTAACTGAATACCACAATTAACTGATCATAACTGAACCCAGCGAGCACCCACCAGCATAAACATAAATCGGCGCCCTGATATGCAACGAAAAAAATAATACACAAGCTATTATCAACTTTATCTTTATTGTAGCAAAACAGTTTTCATAAAATACCCACAGCTGAACATAAATATAAAAAAGTTTTTTTTTTAATTTAGAAAAAATGGGGCACACTGAAGCTGTCACCTGTCAGGACCAGGGTTTATAAAGTGCAAAAAAAGGCCAAGTTCAGCCTGGCCTCAGAAGTTTAAAGAAGAACATCTCTGAAGTGTTTTTTTTTTTCTTTCAACATTATCATTTGGCGGTGCAACTTCTAACCTAAAAAAACATTACTGGAGTAAAGTGGAAGACTTTTGAGCAACATTTCTTCAGAATTTGCAGTATTTGGTTCTCCTTTTACACCCTGTGGTGTTCACTGTCAGGGTTCATCTTCAGTGTCTCTCCTGGTGAATCTCCTCTGTGTCACTGAGATGTGAAGACTCTCCATCACTGCTGTGTGACGAGGCCGTGGATTTGCTCGATCCCAGTTCAGTTGTAGGTCCCAGTATGATCAGGTGGCCCACGGAGGAGCCGGGGTTTTGCTGTTCTGCCATCAGCTGCTCCTGCGCAGTGGCCGCAGGCAGCAGAGTGTGGATCAAACTCCTCCTGGAGTTCTTCTCCATGCACTCCGACTGGACCACTCCGGCCAGGAGCTCCGACAGCTCCGTGATGTAGATCTGGGCCATTTGCAGCGTGTCGTACTTGGACAACTTCTTCTCGTTCTCCAGTGACGGGATGACGCTCCTCAGCTCGTCAAACGCCTTGTTCAGGCCGTGCATCCTCCTCCTCTCCCTGGCGTTGGCTGCGACGCGCCGGTGTTTCTGGGGGCCAAAGTGGCCGTTCCTGCCTCCGTCAGACCCGCTCTCACAGCCGGTGTCTCTGATGCCTGCAGCAGCCGCGGACACGCACTCGGGAAGTTTACCCGACGGCACAAGTTTCTCCAGCGAGATGCCCGCGTCCTGCGCGCCGTGCGCGTCCCTCCTGGAGAACGCGCGGATGGGACTTGCAGAGAGCCAACTTTTGGAGTTGATGTGCGTCAGGCTGCGCTGCTGGAGGAGGCTGAAGTCCTCCGGGTACTCTGGCCAGCCTGGAAGCTCTGCTTTAGCACTCATCACTGCACTGGCCCCGGGTCACGTCACCGTGGAGACTGCGTTGATGTCTCTCCTCAGTGGAGTGGGTCCAAGTGCTTTTTATAGCCACTCTCCTCCTGCAGCCTCCTTGGCGTCACTCCTCCGTCTCAGACAGCTCTGACAGCCCTGCAGCAGCCAATGGCACCGGCCCCTCTGACCCTGTCACACAACAATTAGACAATGCTCGACTTTTTTCTTCCCATTGTGCATTGTAACTCAATCACGACCTTGTTATTATCCTCACACCGAGGGGAGCCCGCAGTATTAATCATTCAGGAGCGTGGCTTTAATGTTACTAAAACTTTATGAGACTTTAAGTTAACTTTGAGGCCGTTGACTTTCTCTGTGATTGTCCACAGGCTAACCCCTTAATAAAGGAATGTTAGCATGCATTCAACTTAAAACCAAAACATTTCTAAACTTGTTTTTCTTTTCTGACTGTACTTTGATTATGGACTTTGTGAGAAACACACTCCTGATGTATCAAGGTTGAGGCCTGTTCTCAAACAAACAGTAAAAAAAAAAAAAAAAAAGTTGGACGAAGTTGCAGTTATTTGCTGAAGAATAATAAAACGAACAGGTGGGAGGCCAGAGCTGGGACACACCTGTCCACAGCAGGGCCATGAGAACTGATAAGATGACTGCGAAGCATTAATGAATCATTTAGGAGCAATAAACAAAGATGACAACATTCAGTCAACGGTCGTCATAACCTCAGAAGGCAATTAATTAAACTGGGATCATCATTTAAGGTCCAGTTTTAATAATTAATTTACTAGGAACGGAACAATACACACAGCGCACATGTTGTCATGTACAAGTCACACATCACACAGGTTTGACAGCTGTGTTTAAGGTAGTGCGTGTTGTCTTCCTGTCTGTTTGACAGCTGTGTTTAAGGTAGTGCGGGTTGTCTTCCTGTCTTAGAGGTAGAGGTTGGGGGTTCGATTGCAGATTTAGCCACGCTACATTTTTATGTGTTTCTGGTAAAGTTGCCAGTGCAGAGAGATGGTAAACGAGTGCAAATCAACTCAGTTTAAGTAATTACCATAATTCCATATTCAATGTGTCTGGACTGTGGGAGACACCCCCCCCCCTCCTCCTCCTTGCCTCCCCTCACCTCCCCTCCTCCTTGTCTAAACAGTCTACAGACATTTAGGGCAGCTCTAACAACTGGGCATCAAACTGATGATCAGTTTTCAGTAAGGCAATTTTCCACCCACTCTTCCACTGCGTTACCCTATAGACTTCAATGAAAGGATTACAACTTGTAACCCCGCCCTCCCTCCTCCACCCCTGGCTGCAACATGCTTTTCTAGTTTTAAAAACAAGTCTTTGATTGATGAGTTGTGACCCACTAGATTTAGCCCACCAGCCCACTTTTGGGCCACTAACCGGCATTTGAGAAACACTGGCGTAACCAGTGTGACAGCACTGCATGTATTTTTTTTTTGCCTTTTTTTTTAAATTATTGTCACTGTTTTTGTTGTTTGTTTGTTTTTTTGTTTTTTGTCGTCGTTGGAAGATAAATCAGACTGGAGTTATTTGTGGTCCTGCGGTCCTGCCCTGTGCCTATCAGCTGGTGTCCCCTGGCTCCCTCACACCAGCTCCACACACACTTCACCTCCAGTGTCACCCACGTCTCCCATATGCTGCTCACAGCGACACTCCGGCTTCACCACTGACACTGAGCTGTGACACTGGAGCTAATCACTCATTTAGCTCATTAATTACAGCAGTCCCGGCCCAGAGCCGTCCTCTGGGAGATCTCCACTGATGCTGCAGTGATGAGGGACCTGGACAAGTCTCGGATTCAGCAGCGCTCCACCCGCCGAACCCCCCGTGTGCGTGGTTTTGTCAGTGTGTGACAGTGTGTGTTGAGCACTGGTCAGGAAAATCACCGTGACCTGCCTCGCCGCCAGCAGTTTAATGAGGCCTGGTTTTAGTTGAATAAATCGGCACACTCTCCGTCCCGGGGTGTCCATTCACTTTTGGGGCGACATGAATATTTCATTCCTTCAGCCCCGCTGCCAGCGCAACAGCCTGCAGACCTGCGCGCAGGCTGCAGAAAATGCGGGCTACACTTCCCATCTGGTGCGGGGCGTGAGTGGGGGCGTCGCGGAGGGCGGTGGCTGCTGTGTCCGAGGAGGTGTGAGGAACATCAGAGGTCACCTTCTTCTGACCTGCCCCAGAAGACACACACACACAAACACACACACACGCACACGCACTTTGTATTCGAGGTACTTCATTAAACGATTACTGCAAAATAAAAATAAATAATAATATTTAGAAAATGCAGTGGGGTCGCAGTCTGCCCCTCAGAGAAAAAAAAAGTCACAAAATAGACGGTTGCTGTGACGACCACCAATGAAGGAGATTCTTTACGGCAGAATTTTAAAAAGAAAAACGTCACCGGTCAATATGTAAAGAAACTATATGATCCCTTATATTAATCTGACCTACAAATGTTTTTTGTGTAATTATTATTAATATTTTTAAACAATTAACCTGTTTTAAAAACACATTCTAAACCATTTTATAGCCTGCTTTTTTAGCACATTATGCTGTAAGAAAGGCTAAGCCAGTTTGCAACAAACTTCAACGCAAAACCTAATCTAAATTTGTGTTTTTGTGACAAACTATTTAACTTTTCTGTTATTCCAGACCAAACTTTCAGTTTGCTTTTGGCAAATAATTTAATTTAATGTGGCTTATTTTTATGTTTACTGTTAAAATGTACATGAACATATGACGTGTCGTAAATGTTTCTCTAATATCTTTAATGAACACGCGTGAAATATATTATCTTTAATCTCTGGTAAAACCGCAGCCGAAAGGGAAAAGGTCAGGTAAACAGTACCATGCTCCACCGAGGGCGGCGCTGTTGTTTTCTACCAAGACACATGGGGCTCTAATAAGTTAGCAACACCAGAAGGTTCAAAACACCACGGCGATTTGTTTGTTTATTTATTTTACGGTCATTCAAAATACGTGATAAATATTAGCTTTGCCCACGCGTAGAGCTACATCCGAATAAGAAAAACAACAAGAATAACATCCGGTGACTTTGAAAGAAATGAAGGAGTTCTCTTAAAAGTTTGCTTTTTTTGAGTTTTGAGTTTTTTGTGAAGAAAAACAGAAAGAAGAAAAAAACAAACACGGACTCGTCTTACAAATGAAGGTAGGACCATACACTGTTTACAATTGTATATAAATAGTAAAAAAAAAAACAATTAAATAAAAACATATTTAATAATATGCAGTTTAACAATTTAAAGCCTTTTGTATACAACTTAAAGGTTCAATAATGTCAAAATTGTTTATTTTTGTTGAAATGTGATTGTGTTTATTTGCAAATGCTAATTTTGAACACATGCAGACTACAGAGATAATGTTGTTTTTTCTAAGACAAACAGTGTCTACGGTACCTGACCTGTGTTTGTGTGTTTGTTAAGGATAATGTTTGGATATAAAAGGTAATTGTTATTGTGTATTTTTGGTAAATAAGATTATTTTTTCCAGCTACTTTTTTATGTAAATCTGACACTGGGTCAGTTCCTCACCTGTATTAAACTTCACCTGAGGCTAAAACAGCGTGTGATCAGTGGCCACATTATTAGGCCCACGGCCCTGAAACTGATCATCGTAGCCAATTACCACAAAAAGGTAGATTCTGGCTCGTAGTCATGGTCAAGCGGACCTCCTGCAGTTCTGAACTTTACTGCAAGAAGGTCACTGGTTTGACCCCTGGTGGTAGCTGCTGGTGCTACTGTACGGAGTTTGTATGTTTTGACAAATTGTCCACTGTATAACCCCACCTTTGCCCGATGACTTATTGGATTTGCAATAGCTCCCCTAGTGGCCCCTGTGATGTATTAAGTGGTAAAAGATGGATGAACAAATGATTTCTTTTTTAGCATTTGGTTCATGTTGTATTACATTTGTACATATGTTCCGAGCATCAATAAGTAAAAAGCATTAATGCATCATTCTGCATCCTGTTTTTTTTTT